TTTTTAAGCAGGACTGCAGGTCTTCAGCAGGACGTCGGGTCTTCACAGGAGTCGGCGACTTAACTTCGGGCTTGATCAAGACGTCGGTCCTTTTTGGCAGGAAGTAGGGGGACGAGTGTCAGGCCTGAACAAGACGTCGGGTCTTTGGCAAGATGTAGGGACAGAGTGCTCGGACCTTGAACAAGACTTCGGGTCTTTTGGCAGGACCGTCGGGATTGAAACGTCGGGCCTTAAGGTGTGTCCGGTGAGCGTTTGTGGTGTCCGGTCGAGGTTTTGTGGTGGTCCGGCGAGATCTGCGGTGGTTCCGCGGTGGTCCCGGCGGCTGTCTGAGGAGGAACTCTTCCTTCCTCTCTCTTCTCTCTCTTGCTTGAGTCCCCTCTTATGAGAATGAGGCTCATTATAGATTCTGGAGTGGCATGGCCCGTAAATGGCATGAGATCAAGGCGAATAGGGAGTGGCCAATGGACGTGCCGATATTGAATCCTACGACTACACCGTTCATGGACAATTGAAGGCCTTAGTGATGTCAGAATTCTGTGAATCTTGGGTCTCGTTGATTCGTCCGCGAGCCCTGTCGATCGAGTATAGCCTCGTCAAAATCGGAGTCCGTTTGGGTAACTCAAATAGTGTTTTTGAACTTCCAACAGCGCTTCGGATCCATGATTTGGGACCATTTGACTCGCTTGGGTCGACATTTGGTGTCGTTTGGATTCTCATTTCGCGAGACGCCAGTTCTGACTATAGCTTGCTGAAAGATCGGAGATTGGGTGCTCCCAAAAATAATTTTTGACGTTCCACTAGCTTTTGCCTCGGATTCGTGCTCGGATCAGATAATTTTTGTGATGCCGTATCAATATTAATACTACTACTTATTACCAGATATCAATTTGTTATTATATATGACTGAATTGAGATATTAATTTAATCCATATGTGATGAATTAATATATTGAGTATGTAAATTGTTAACTTGGAAATTAGTATAGATAACCTCACATATATTGATGCACTATAATTTTTTTTCTACATTTATAGCTATTAATTTTTCTTTTCATTGCAATGATATTTAATTCATAAGAATTAGTTATGACTGTGCTTTTTCTTCTCATTACATAAATTTTTTTTATAGAAAGGGTACGAACCCACGATGTGAAACCTAAAACACATGTTTTTGTTTCTTTTTTTTTTTTCACATTGTTATTATTTTATAGTGCTAATCTGTTTTTTATATGATGGTAGTAGTCTTTTGTATCATAATTATTGTTAATGATATTTTTTTACTTTATATAATTATACATATTGATCATAATATACATTATGTTCTACTCCTTATTATAAGAAATCTGAATCTCTCCATTAAAAGAAAAGAAAGCAATATAAATCCACATTATTCCAAGTATAGCTTCTAAGGCGTGACATCGTGGCCAACCATTACACTCATAATTGCCCACCACCCACGCCCCACGCCCCCACCACCCCTCTCACCATCTCGTCACTTTTGCCTGCCACCATCGTCGACCGCACTCCAAGCCGCCCATCGCCACCTTGTGCTTGTCACCGCCATCCGCCACCACTTTGAGGATCACCTCAAGAATTTCATATTCAGTTAACATTTTCTGACCCAGAATTTAAAGATAATTCATTATTTTTATTTATCAACCCCTCTACCAGGCGTGTTGGAATATTATATATGTGTGTGTGAGTCGTATGTATTATGAATTGATCTTTTGGTTTGTTTGCCATGTTTGAAACCATTTGAAACTTTTCCCATGAGGTACCACGAATGTTATGGTTAGAAGACCCTTGGTGGAAGTGCTTCGCATTTTTTTTTCTTAGTAGGGTAGGGTGCGGTGTGTCCTGTAGGGTGGCGTCGTGCGCTAGAGTAAATTTTATATTAAAATATTTTGAATCTACTAGTCTATTTCATGTTAATTCATATTTGGCAAACGAACTTAGCATAGAAGACACATGGTTTTAAGTGGAGAAATTTTCATTTTACGTGACATCGATGTTATTTTCTTCTCCCAGCCGAATATGGCAAAAAATGTTCTGGTTGAGGTAAGGTCCAACTTTGTATTTTTAGCTTTAAAATTACATAGATATCATTTTTCATTTAAATTTTAAATTTTATTTTCAAATTTTCAACTGTTAAACAAAATCTTTTTTTTTGTCATAAAGCAATGACTTTAGACCATTTAGCTTTTTTTTTTTTTTTGAAAATTTTTAATATGCATTTGAAATGTGCATTTTTAACTATTTAAAACAATAATTGAAAGCCAACAAATAATTGAAAGCCAAAACATAATGATGTCAATTAAAGTCTTGAAATAACATTTTGTATAATATTTGATAAATTTGTTTATTCTAAATATAAAATTATCACTAGTGTTATTTTGTTGACGATATCGTTATAGCATTATGTGAAATTCTAAAATGAGCTTATTTATGCTTTAATTTTGGCTGCGCAATGAATTTGTGGTTTGAGTTAATTGAATGTGTGAATTGCGGAATTCTGATGTTGTGGTGAAAGTTTTGCTTAATGCCACTGGTTAAAAAGTTTGAGTTTTTTTAACATATGCATACTGTCTGAGGCATTAGGATTCATAATGACATGTTTTCTGTTTAATACGAAGTGCTCTCGATTTTCTTTTTTGTATTACTATCTAATTTTAATCAACTACCAAGCATGATTTAATTATGTGCAGTGATTATTATGAAAATTGCTTTAAACTCAGTTGTGCATTAATAATGAGATTGATTTGTAAAATTTAAACAACTAAGGTGTGCTTGCTGAGCTATGTCAGCTCACTACTTGGTTGTCTTCTATGTTCAAGGGCTGATAGAGAACGACATGACCTATGTTGAATAACAATTCAGGATCCGATTTGAGTTTGTTGAGGTATCTTTCTTTCTTTTAATTTTATACAATTATACAGTATCCATTTAAATGACATGTTATTGTCAGTTGTTACATTTCCATTTTGAAATTAATATAAAACTTTTATTGTGCATGAGTTAATTTTTTAGTACACTGATGTTTATTATAGCTATGTGTGTTATTGTTGTTTAAAGTTAAAATTCGGATGAAACTTATAAATAATTTCCCCAACAACATAGATCTCCCGGGGTTTGTTGTTGCCAGTCAACACGATTGGACCTGTCTAGTATGTGGGTCATTCGGGTTGGATTGTGACCTACTACATCCATCCCCCGATACTTGCCACCTCTCTGTCGCCCCTGGTCGACACCATTCTTGCCACCAGACTACTACAACTCGTCTTGTTCATCTCATATTTGAACTTTTCAATGCATAAACATTTTGCTTCACATCAAATAAATATCACATTCAATGTGCGATTTAATTTACACTCATTCAAAAACACAAGATATTCTTTAGACTGAACATTCATTTACAACTTTTTTTAGCCAACAAAGAGCCAATCGAAAAGGAGCTTCAAATAGTGAATTTTGATTCTCCATTGGGCAGAGAACATATTGATAGTATCAACTTATTAGAAGACATTAGGAGCCTTTAATTTCAAACACGTATTTTTGAGTTTAATGCCATATAGTTATTTTCCTGCTTAATGAGAACATCTATCTCAAAATTTCCATTCACTTTAAATAAGGTTAATAGTAGTCTAATTTATTATATATTTCTAAAAATTGAAAAATATCTAAGATATCAAAATAATAAACTTCATCATATATACCGATATCCCAGTATGAGACCCCTAATTTTTTTTTATTATTGAGGTTAGGCTGCAACGAACCGAGCTGAGTCGAGTGATGCGCGTGTTCATGTTTTGTTGCATTTAATATCGCTTGTTCAAGTTTGGTTCTTGTTTGTTCGAGCTTTTATTATTTGTGTTATATTGGTTATTTAAATTAATGAGTGTTCATATTCGTTCATATTCCAGTTCATATCGTTTGTTTTGGTGCTTATGAACTTTAAACAAACAAACATGAACGAGCTATACAACGGCTCTACTTTTAGAGTGTTCTGTAGACTTCACAAACGAGCCTTTATCGAGCTTCCTAACAACAATTACATCAACATGTTCACAAACATATTTATAACGAATTTTTTTTAACTATCAAACAACATGTTCATGTAGGCATATATATCACAAACACCTTATAATTTTATTTTGCTTTACATTTTATTATTTACAATATTATACATTGTATTAATAATAATATAAAAATATTTATATTTATATTTATTATTATATAACAAATATTAATTAATTTTTATTGAGCTTATCCACGAATTCAAAAATCGAACACAATCGAGCTTTTATCGAGCTAAATGTCGAGCTTGTTCACGACTTCAATGATGGTTGTTTCGTGAACCATAAATGAGTCGAACCACATTAGTGTTCACAGTTTGC